TGCTATTATAGTGAAATGACTGCAATGCATCATTTTGCTATTTTCGTCTCTTGAAAGATCTGCTTCAAAGTAAAACAAGTGGTAGAAAAATGACACGCGACACGCCAGGATAAGGAGGCTTACTTTTCGCCGCCACCCCTCTTAGTAACTTAGCCTCGCTGTTCCCACTTGGCTCGAGTCCATGTAGCCTAATGCTGTCTTCCACACGTTAAATTGATATTGGCGCTTCATACTCTCTCCATATCGGAGACTGCTATAAAAGTTTCAACGGTATTCTCATCACATTGTAGGTACCTTTATGCTATAGAGCTTAAGTGATATTATTACAAGGTCAAAGGAAATATTTGGAATCTTTTCTATTACATATAATTTTTTTTTTCAAGTTAGAATGGCAAACAATCTGACGGCCCAGAATGGCAATGACAGGTGTTATTCTTCTGTACCCTGTAAATTTATGCCCTTCAAACCGAAATAGTCATGCAAACACAACTGCTTCACGGTAGAAACACGAATGGGACAGAGGTGCCCAAGCAAACGACTTTTGTATAAAGTCTCCCTCTGGTAAATACGTTTATTTTCATATTTTATTTCGATAATTGTACTCTGTTTTGTTTTTGTTTTCAAATACTATCTTGTTGTTGTTTATTTGGATAATTTTTTTAATTATATAGAAATTAAGGAAAAAATTTTCAGAAAGAAATTATGTAAAATAAAAAAAATATATATATATCTAATAATTTTGTGGGACTTTATTTAAGAGCCTTTAAATAAATAAAATACTCTATTATTGATTTTATCAGTGCTAATAAATGTATGGAATGGATCATTAATATAATTTATAATATTTATAATTATCAGAAGAGATATCGAGCGATAAGTGTTCGAAATAAAACTGTTCTGATTAAAAAAAAATCTGAATGTTAAATGATTCAGGAAGGAGAATGGGTGAATTCCATTGCATTAATAAATTTGATAGTTGCTCATCAACCATTCACATTTTGATTAACGTCGATACAACATCTACAATTCGAATGCATTACAGCAAAGGTCACGGTTCTCTCGGCAGTTACGCAACTTGATGCCAACGGAGTGTCAGTTGGTCTTGGCCAGGCGACTCTGCTCCCGCGAGCATCGTTCGCTGTCAAAGCCTCGCTGAGTGACATACGTACGTAAAACATTCTCAGTTTAACGTGCATTAGTTAATATACTGTGATTGAAGTGTTCACGTTAAATGATTTCAATTGTTAGTGTATCAACGTCTTATTTTGTGTAAAGTGATTTGTGACTGTGACTATTGTTTCTGACTGCGCAAGCGTCGATTTTAAAAACGTTATGTGGTGGGTATTTTTACACTTTGACAGTTTTTACTATGAATATCTGTATTTATTCACATGATTAATATGTCATGTGTTAAATGTTAAATTATAATTCCTTAAATATCTACTAATATCGTAATAAATATTAAAGAGAGTTTGTCTGTTGTTAGGACATGGCGTTTACTAACCAGTCCAACAATCGTCGTGTAACTTGGCACAGGATATAGTATTTATAAATAATAAATCTACGGTTATTGGAATTCATTATAAAGTAGACAATGATCTTCGTTGCTATGCCCGTAGGTTACATTTATCCCGAACTACCAATATGTCTCGGTCACGCGGACGAAGTCGCAGCCACTGCTAGTTATGAATATTGAAACATTGTGCACCAAACAATGTAGCGGATTCAATGGTCCGGAATCACCTAAACTGTGGAATATACGGGTTCAACAACGTTTTCCGTAGAAATCGCAACAAAGTTTCTTATCGGGCGTTGGATATTTGTGGGGAATTGGACGGGGGTGCGGTGAGGTCTGTTAGATCGTTGGAATTTTGCCAGTCCACACTGCATTGTTGACTGGCTATGTTAGTAAATTAATACCTTTATCAACAATAGAGCAGACCAATACATCGCTAGATGCTTGCACGAGCTCCTACATCACGCACGTCATACATCATACGGCGGCGTGTCGCAGGAAACGTTACCAAAACCTAGATAGATGTCTCGTCTCAAAGGGCAAATTACCATACGTGTAACTAATGAATATTATTAGTACATCTACTTGTTTGTTATAAATATGAGTCACATAAGTATATGAGCCAGTTTAATATAATTAATTTGATTGCTTCATATGTTTCATTAAAAATACCAATGAAGTGAAAGTCGCGAATTATTAAATTCGCTCATCAACACGTTGAGAACTTTATAATCACTGAATAAATTATTGCAATAAACATTTTTTTATGCAACTTGGAATGGCAAACAAGCTGACTGCCCACCTACTATACAACGTGTTCTTTAATACACTCGTTTTCGTACTTGTTTTCTTGACAGTATATTTATTTTACTTACAATCGTGTTTGACGCCGGAGTGCGTATCGCGTTTTTCTCGCATCCATCTTACATTGGGACGCATTCTGATGGATTGCGATGTTACTCTAAATAGGTTGCGCCTTGCTGTTTATTTGTTCATGTCACGTGACTTAGCCGCTCACATTTTCTGTTCATTCTAAGAAACTGTATAATAACGTTATTTATACGAAAAAAAGTGTTATTAGTGCTTTTCGGGGTCACTTTTAAATGTTATGTTATTATTCTGGGTTCTTTGGCCGGTGGTGCTTATAACTTACTGAGTTAAGTATCATGATTCCACTTAACATTTTTTTGTTAATATTATACGAATAATATGTTTTTTAATTATTTTAAGAGTATAGAATTTTGTTTATGACAAAAAGCCCCTACAGTAAAATATTCCTTATAATCATGGCTTTATAGAAGACTGCAGTGTAGTTAGTATTTATCATTGTGTGATATCCTGTTGCCAGTAAACGGTTCGCGCCAATGAATGCAACAGTGTTTAGCATATTTTAATAATATTATTAAGCTTAGAAAACATTGCGGTTGGATTCTTAATTGATTCAACAAGTCTTTGTTAAAGACTTTCGAGTCCTTAGTTCATTTAAGTCCACAAGTATGTTCAAGGATAATTAATTAATTTTCTTTTCTTTAATCTTCATGCCTATTAGTCTATTAATAATGCAACTGGAGCTGTTTTGTAAAATGTATAAATAGCAATAATATTTGATCCATCGAACATTCGCACTTGGAATCTCAAGGTCTCGACTCTCAACACGAAATGATGTATTATAAATTCCGTGAAAGTGAATGAAGGTGTATGCAATTCAACCATGTTCATTCACTTTCAAATATTACATTTATGTATAACTAGCACAGTTCTTTTTAGTAACCATTAAAAATCCTTCACAGACACGATTTATGTGGCCCGGTGTTTTTAACCGTTTTTAATACAAGGTCTAAAATAAGGAAATGGTGATTAAGTACAGATTAAGATTTTTATTAGTGTGATACGCCTTGGAATGGTTTTGTAATAATATGTACGTGTGTTGAATATTAATAATGTATGTCGGTATTTTTTTTAATGGATGATAATGGAATGGTAACCACGCCCGCGCTATTGGTGTACGCTGGCGGGGTACCAGTGAGGGATGATAGGTGAGAATGAAAAGGCGGGTCAGTGAGCCAAACGTGATGAATACAACTGGAATAATATCAGCATTTAACTTTTGCTAGCTGGCTCCTCTGGACTGGATATTTTATCCTTTAGACGGAAACTACATTGAACACATTGTTATTTCACGGGAGAAACACACAAGACATTGGTACAAGGGATTGGTAAGTAGACATAATAATAGGGATTAAGGATCCAATTTCTGGCAATATATTCAAAGGTTGACCTCCTTGCAGTCCCTCCTGGAAACCATCGTAGTTAATTTCTGGTGAATTAATATTGTTAAGCTAACTTCATTCTTACCTCGAATACTGCATTAGTATCTTTCTAGTGTAAACGAATAAAATGGATCAATGAACCCGTACGCACGGGTTCATAGTTTCACATTTATTATTAAAAAAAAAACAATATGGGTATACATACATATACATACATACCCGTGCGCAGTATGATTGTATGTTGTATAGTTGTATACTACAAACGGTTTGTACAATAGTTATCTGATGAAATCGAAGATTTCAAGGTTTGCGCATGGTCTTGACACGCATCGCATGACAATTAGCTCTTAGCATTGAGACAGTTTGCACGGCAATAATATTTAGTTAATACCTCATGGTCATTGTTAGTTCAAGAAAAAAAAAAGTATCTGCCTTCCGGCGTCATTGCCAATGTTCTTTGGTATGCTGTAAGTATTTCGTAATAGCTTTTATAATGGCAAATAAAAATAATTCAATATGAATTTGTTTTTGGTATCGCGATTTGAACATTTTTTTTTACTAACGCATTGTATATATGTATAAAGTAGCTGTTTTCCACAGCTTTCTCTGCGTGAAATCGTACACTCCGCTCCCATGGGAATATAAAAAACTTTTTAAGTGCTCATAATTTTTATTTGTGTAAGGACCTCTGCGCAAATTTAATGTCTTAAGTGTGCTTTGATCAGTCAGTGAGTTTCTTTTTTATCGACATTAAAAGAAGGAAACCTTCCTTCTTTTAATGTCGGTAAAAAGTTAGTTTGTTTTTTTTTTGCATGTGTTATGTGATAACTTCTTTGATTCTGAACATCTTGTTATTGCTCATAATCACTTATTCCAAGTTGAATCTTCGAATTTTGTAACTTTATCAGCTAGCAGAGGTAATCTTCTTTATTATTTCTACATTTTTTTATTGTGCACAAACATAGTGATAAGAACATTTAATTTTAAACGTAATGTACAAAGGCGAGCTTATTTCTAGTAAGAGATTACTTCTAGCAAATTTTTTATGTTTTGTTTTTCTATGTTCAATTAGGCGTATAGATTTTTGGAACAGATTTTGATATTTTAACAATTGATAGAGTTACCAATTTTTGGAAATTTCTATGAGTAATGATGTCTTGCAGATAGTGCACTATTCAGATAGTAGTAACTAACAGTTTTTTTTGACAACACAGGGGGCAAACGGGCTTGCGGCTCACCTGGTGGTAAGTAACTACCGCCGCCCATGATCACCCACAACACTAATGGCGTTGCAGGTGTGCTGCCTGCCTTTTAAAAAGGAATAAGCTCTTTTCTTGAAGGTTATGTTGTCGTATCGGTTCGGAAATACTGCTGCTGGAAGTTAATTCCAGAGAGTGGTTGTGCGTGGAAGTGTTTGAGGGATATCGTATACGTCACAGCGTATTGTGATGTTGATAGTGTTGTTCATGTCTGTAGTTGAAGGTTGGTTACTACTTTCCGTCAGGTGGACCAATAAATAGCTTGTTTGCCATTTGTAGTTGCATAAAAACTAGTTACTGTTTGTCGTCGGTTAGCCAGTCGCATGTGCATGTAGCGACACGTGTCACGTGACGACGCAATGGTCGCGTGCCCGCTAATTGGAGCGGAACCCGCACGAAACTGACGCAGCAAGGTCGGCCATTTTATAAGGCATTAAGAGTGCAAGTAATCGAGTTAGTGTTGAGTAACGCCTGAAACATTTGAACAAACCTCCGTTAATTAAAATGGATTTATTTGATTTTATTCGTACTAGTATGACAAATAAAAAATGCGAGTAAAAATATAGTTAGTGTAAATAATTTTTTTATTATAGTCATCGTCGTATCAGCCTTTAACTGTCCTTTAACTATTGAACATGAATATGTTAGAAGTTGCCACGCTTGGCAGGCAGATTGGCAACCGCGATTAGGCTTTAGAGATGTTTTAAGAGGGACTTTGCTGCCCATCACTCGTCCTCCCTTACGCGCCTCTTATGACATCCACGGGAAAGGAAGAGGTAGTCTTTCTATGCTGGGATTACACGGCAAATATTTTTTTTGTACTACCGTTTAAATATTAGTTAGAATACTAGACCAGACCTATCTGTTGGAAATAGGATTCCAACTACCATGTGTATCTAAAAAAGTAAAAATAAAATGATTTTAACCTTAACATCATTTTAAGCTTTTATTTAATTAGAGGGAGATTTTGTTTAAAAGTTGTTTGCTTGGCTACCTCTGTCCCATTCGTGTTTGTACCGTGAAGCAGTTGTGTTCGATAGTGAATTAAAAAAAAAATATTAAAAAAGGTGACATAGACTCACTTTATACATACATATAAAACACGCATGTACATACAACGTAATCTGTAATGGTGTTACGTTAAGATTTATGAAATGTAATGTCATTATTGATATATACGTAACTACATAATTTTATATGATGTGGTTGTTGCTATTTAATTGTTTAATTAATATCATTGTTTAATTTTTATGTATTTCCTAATATATAAATATGAGGAAAATATTGTTTTCGTTCAAGACCTCATTCGTTACTTGTGATAATTTATCAGTATTTTATGTTGGATTTTATAACACATATCATATTATAATAATAGTTTTAAATTCTTAAAGCAAACTCTGTATCTATTAAAAAAAGCAGAAAATTATATTTTCAATATGAAAAATAGTAGTATATGTCAAAATTGCAATGTGATCAGATCAGATCAGACGAGTACAATCCTGATACGTCCATCAGTGCAACTACTTTCGACAGTGCTCAGTGAGCAATTCACCATTTCCATGTTTAATCAGCAAATCGCGGGCGAACCATTAAACCAGTTCAACTGAGTGTCGGTTTTACCAGTATTTACCCCGCACCCACATTATATGTTAAACTTTATCAATTATCGGGTAATGTGGCGAAGTTTCCCACACGCCGAATACTTCACTCGCACTCATTTTAGTTGTTCCCAAGTCTCGAACTTGTGATAAGAAACCTTGTATGTGAACCGAGAAGAATACGAATGGACTGATTTTATTAACTTAAACATTTATTGGACATTTTGATGTAAGATTTGGAAATATTATCACAACTCCTAACGTTTTGCGTAAGTATAGAAAAGCATTTAGTATTCTACACATTCTATTAAACTTCATACGTTTTCGACACTAACTAATGTTCCTTACATATCAGCAGTTTTGCTTTTTTGGCATGAGGGATTTTTTCCCGTGTAAGATTTTCCTTTTCGCTGTTGTGAATTGTTTGATATTACGCTCAAGTTCTTTTCGCCAATAGCCAACTTGAAGTGTTGAATAAATACGGCAAATATTTACGATACAAACAAGAAGCCCGATCATCATAAATACATTCAAAAAATACATCATAGAAAATATTTTTTTTCTATATCAAATGTAAAAAAATATACTAAAGTTTTAGGTCAAAGTTTAAAGTTTTTATTTGTTGACAACATAGTCATACAAAATATTTAGTGACGACATTATTATATTTATTTAAAACTACTAATCAGAAATAAAAATCGCCGTGTGGTCCTGGCATAGAATAGGCCACCCCTTCCTTTCCCGTGGGTGTCGTAAGAGTCGAATAAGGGACGGCGAGGGATGGGCAGCAGCGTCCCTCTTAAAACATCTCTAAAAGCCTAACTGCGGTTACCAACCCGCCTGCCTGCCAAGCGTGGCAACTACTGGCAAAACTCCTCTTATGGGGCAGGCTTATGTTCAGCAGTGGACAGTTAACAGCTGAAATAATAATAATAATAAAATTAACAGACAATGAACCATGTAGTATCCTTCTCAATCCAAAATGAGTTTTGAGAATTCTGCTTTGAATTATACATGAAACATTAAAATCTTAATGTTGAATTATATACATATATTCGGTTTTTTAATATCCGACTAATTCTGTATAGTTCTATTTAGAAGTACTGGCTGTCACAATGAAGTACACCTGATGCGTTTATGGTTTGTAGAACGTCTTCGAAGAGGATATAATTGAGTACGTACTCATCATCCGACGCGGGTTCACTTTCTCCACGTGATGCGTTGCGCAAGAGTCGATTAATCTGCAAGACTATTCGTTTCTTTTTCATTTATTACAACATCGACATCTATTAAATATACATCAGAATAAATAATGTTTCTTAATAATAACATTGATTAGAATCACATTTTACAAATATTAAAAATGTGAAAATTAGTAAAAATATTTGTATGTTTACATATTTTTTTACTCAATCATGGTTGAATGGGTTTGAACGAAATTTTGAATACGATAGATCACACCCTAACTTAAAACAAAGGATACCATATATACTCGTATTGACGCGGGCAAGATTGTGGGAAACAGCTAGTGTTTTAAATATATATAGGTATTCTTTCTAAGCGTAATCTCTAAACTCACGGTACATGTTCTATTTGACAAATTTTTATAAATAAATTTTACAACAACAGTTTTTGCATGGCATTTAGCTGTCGCTTGTTTGCATTTTTTTATTTGTTAAGGTCAGTCATTTGTATATTATGTATACCATTTCAAAAGTTGGTCATCTAGATTAATTTATTTTGGCAGTTGCACAATGGACTTAATATAAAAGTTTTAAAATGTAACAGATTTATTTTGGCAGAAATATGCAAAATTTTAAAGTTTGGCGTAAGTGTGTATAGAATTGAATTTAAAACACCACCTGAAGACATGAGAATAAGATTGGTTAATAAGAATGGTTTCGGTTGAGAGAAGTAGTGAAATACACCTATTTATATGATATAAATTTATAGTTATACTCTGCGAATTACATTAGTCCTCCATTACAGTTGTGAAAGTGCTTACACACAATAGTTCCAGTCGAAGTTTTCCTCAAACCAAATACCGAGGCAGAGTGAATGGGCAGTTCGCTTCGGATCACCTGTCCAAGTGTCTTAAGTGCTAAACCATCATTTGTCAACGTCACATTGCGTCGTTCACGAGCCCGAGAATGCTTGGAAGGCACCTCTATTGTTCGCTTGTCGAGACATCCCCTATTTTTAACCCTCCGTACGGTAGAGCTTCTAATCTTAAACCGTTAATAAATCGCTTTGTGAACACGAGCAAGGAATAGTTCCATGTACAATTTTTCACATAGCTTTTAACGGGGCTGTTCTGAGATTTGATATCGTTCTCAGTTTCAAATTGGTTTTGAAATGCGACAAGATATCGGAAGTTCAAAAAGCTTGATTGCATTTTAAAAGAAGAAATTCAATATCAGGCGAACAGGAACGACAACAGAGGAGGAACAGTTTAAACATGTTACCGTGTATTTGAAATTGTTTATGTCATACAGCTCGATGCGACTAAGAATTTCTTACACTTTAAAAAGTTTGGTTAAAGTTTAAAAATAGTAAACTTATAATAGAACTAGCTTTAAAGTTTTTCCATCCATTTATAAATTGTTCTTGATATATAATAAGATCACAGTTGCTTTCATCATCATGATTATGATTCCTAAGTAGAATTTTGGTGTAAGAACGATAGTAAATATTTTATGTTCATCTTTCCTTATTCAAATACCTGGTCGGGAGAGTTAGGTAATAATTAGTTACTTATTCTCACATTTAAACTCATTTGAAGTCTAGTATGCGGTAACTTAGCTTAACTTTAGTGTCTATGACAGTTCTGTTCTTGGGTTACTTCGTAACTGGCGTGATATTGTGCTGTTTAACTTAGAGAGGATGCGTCCGAAATTTTAGTACAAATTAGCTGTATATTTAAAGTTACAAGAAAAATATTTGGTTGAGGGCTTAATGATTGTGATTAAATTTAGTCTGTAAATGATTTTTTTTTTGTTATATATAATCTTATTTGATCTTCCAATTATTCTTTTCATACTTATTACTGATATTTTCTTTGCTTTGATTATTATATTCCAGTTCGGAGAATTGATTATTATTGATATATTGGTCTGAATTAATTTCAGTATGGGCAGTATAATCCGAAATACAGGATTTTAAGAGATCTAAGATTCTCCACTTATTCTGACTGATGATTAAGCGGCAGTATTATTAAAGTCAAGCTTTTGTAATGGAGGAAATAATCTCGATTTGTTTATGAATTTTTCAAACTAGACTAATATCTTAATTTGGGACACACTTATTTGAAAAGACTGGTGATTCATTTTGTAAATATTATATTTTTATATGTAAAATAATCACAAAAATAATGAGCATGTTCAAAAT